GAAAAAACAAGCACTAAGCATATATAAATCTCAGAGAATAGTAGTTATTGGAGTATACCGAAGATGTGATCTCAATCGGTAGCATTAGACTGTTCAAATCTTCCCTGTTCGAATGCTCAACTGCTCCAATACCATCGACATTATTGATAAATCTGGTGGCTTGATTTAAACTAGGCATACTATCAATGGAAGAGTTTTCTGAATCGGAGTCTTCGTCGTCATTTGATTGGAAATTTGCACTTGTTGGATTCCGTTCAGGTATGATTTTCTTTGTTTGTTGTCTCTTTTGTTGGGAACTGCATAAAGAGCCAATGCTAGTCAAAAACTGATAGAAATATCTGCAACATGACCATAACACACAAGTGGGGTAACACACGCACGTGTGTGTGTAACAAAGCTCAGCCAATCTTTAGCTTATCTCAGAGTATCCAACTCAAAATCAATCTGCAGTGAGCGGAATAGCCCCTCAAGTATATAAACTAACCTTGGATGGTCTTTAATTATTCAACGTGAGATACAAGTTCTCTTTGTGGCAAAAGAAGAAGAAGACAAATTTTTGAAATCTTTCAAAGGGTGCCATCGTCTGTCTCTCTCTCTCTCCCCGTTATCAATAGGAAAATGGTGGGTATATGAATATTCAAATAATCAAAATTTCCACATCATGGTTAACCATAAACAATAGAAGATAACACTATGGAACCGCCAATTTAATAAAATGTATTAGATAGAAATAATCTTAATATCAATATATAGAGAGAAGTATAATAGGATTAAGGGTAATATAGTTAAGTCCATATTATTTTGTGATTTTAAGATTTTTATCACCAAACATAAGTTTTATATGAATGCGCTTCTTAATTCAAAAGGAATTAAAAAACAAGTGTTCATTAAACATCTCGGATTCTTCAAAAGTGCATCTTATAAAGTCCATCGTTCAGATGCACTTTTACTGTCCGAACTCAGAAGTTGCGCCAAACGCAACCATAATCCAGTAAGCAATGTGAATTTAACATGCGACTATTTTTCCACACATCAAGAATTCAAAACGCAACTTGGAGTCCGCATAATGAATCACACTTTGAAATGCAAATTCAAATCTCAAATGCATAAATTGTAGGCGTCAACAACAATCCAATAGACCCAAATCACTAAAAAATAAAAATTCAATCACACCAACGACTTCAAACTTCAAAACCAGAAGATATAACAATAAGCTTCACAAATTCTATGCGATAGAGCTAAAAAAGATTCAAAACAGAAGCAATCCCCTTCACAAGAAAATTATTTGATAATGTAATGAGAAAGTACCTGAAATTACGCTGACGCTTTTTATATGAAGCTGGAAGCAAACGATAAGAAGGTAAAGGGTAATAGCGTACATTCAACCGCTTACAATTTAGTCCACCATAACATCCATGGTTCAGAAAGCACGTTGATAGTTTGGTCGCCATTGGAGAGAGGAAAAGAGAGAGAGAGAGAGGTATCACCCTTTCTTCAAACCAACAACTAGTGATCTCTTGAAAAAGTGCTATGTTATATCACTCCCTCGGGAGGCTTCGAATCTTTTAAGGAGAAATTCATATGTCCATGCTGGTGTAGCTGGAGAGAAGATCCTTTATACTACCGCATGACACGTGGCAGCGTAGAGCGAAGCCTTATCTTAATCGGATGGTGATTTGAACGTGGACCCATAAGACCAAAGCATGTCGGTACAGTTCAATTCATGAACTTGATCACATTGAGCTATGGGTACACTTAAAAGCAGGGTACAATTTTGGCGGGTTAACTCAATTTTAATTTGAATTCGATCCAAAAAAATTAGAGTATGGGTTAGAATTTTTAATTAGATTGGTTTTAGATCAAAAAATTTCAATTCAAATTTAATTTGAGAGGGCCTAGAGTTGACACCTAGGGTTCCAGGGTTGAACCAAAATATTCATAACTATATAAATACATTTTTAAGTCTAAGGTTAATATGTTCTGAAGTCTTCATTGGCGCACTTTCCTCACTCACTATTTAAGTAGTGAACTCTATGTTTGTACAAGAATTCTAGTTGTATTTATTTATGTTCTGTATGGTTATGGTTGCATTATTTCAAATATTAAGTTCTTAATATTATGATTTTTATGTTAAAAACTTGATTAAAGTTGTTGATTGTTAATTTAGGTGAATGTTTATGTAATATATATATCAGGTTTAGAACAACAAGTCTATTTTGGTCTCAACCCAAATTCAACTCGTAAAATAGCCTGAAATCATTAACTTGAATTCAACCTAAGTCCAGCCGAATTAATCTCGGGTAATACTCGAGTTGAGTGCCTCAACCCAAGGTAGGGTTAGGGTTAGAATTAGGGTTGAAGATTATATACATAGGGTTGACTGTCCAACCCGCCTGAATTGCATCCCTAACTTCAAGTCTTCAACGACACGATTGATAAATAAATATGAATCATATCACATTGAGTTCTGGGTACACTTCCACCCACACGATTATTAATTGAATTGGGTATGGGTGACACGAATCTGACAAAACATGCAATTTGTTAAATACAAATTAATAAATGAATCGAATATGGATAAAATATTTTTTAAGACAAACCACTAAGATTCGACATGAATACCGTCTCACTCAACATGGTAGATAGGCCTACGCAGAGTAGGGGTGGGAGTGAGAACACAAAAACAACAAAAATCAAAAATATTTGAGAGTGGCAGAGCCTTGAGGCTGTTTTGAATGATTATGTACATAAATTCTTAAATTAGACATTTTTTTTTTGGAATTGCACTTTGTACTTTGTACCCTTAAAATATAAAATTTTTACATTGCACTCTCAATTTATGAAAGTATTATAATGTGTCTCTTCCGTTAACTTTTGTTATTTATTCCGTCAAAAATTACCTTATTCACATTTAACATTTGAAATTGCAAATGTGAAAATTTTTACATTGAATGTGAAAAATTTTAAATATTCTAGGGTATAAAGTGTAATTTATCTTTTTAAAAAAAAATTTAAATTAAACATGATTGATAATTGAGGCTAAAGCTTCCAAGAGAGAATTGTAATTTGAGACGTCTGGTTAAAAATTCTTCTCGAATCTTAAGATGTGCTGAAGACATCTTCTAAAGTAAATTAATTATAGGAATGTCAAAATTCGACGCGACACGAATTAAATGGGTTTGAGTGAGATCTTAACGGATTTGAGTGATAAACGGGTTGACACACTAAACACGTTTACTAAACAGGTCGTGTTCGGGTGAGACCTGTTAAACTGTTTATCACACGTTTATTCGTTTAAATAAAATTAATATAATAATAAATTAATAATTATTTTAAAAAATTAGCAAGAAAAAATAAGTAAATAAATCAATAAAAAAAAAGAAGTAAAGTAGTAGTTTAAAGACAAAAGAGAAGAGTTAGGGAACACTTCAAAGGCAAAGACAAACAAATGTCTTTTATTTTTGTCCCACATTGAAAAATGAGAGGAGATGGGGAGAGTTGAGTTGCCTATAAAAGACAATAACCTCTTGTTTTTATTTTTAAAACCTTCAAGTCTTATTTTTCAAAGACAAAATAGATGAGTTGTAGAGCACTTGAAAGACAAATTTAAACCAATGTCTTTTGTTTTTGTCCCACATTAAAAAATGAGGGGAGATGGAGAAGGTGAGTTACCTATAAAAGGCAATAGCCTCTTGCTTTTTTTTTTTGAAAGTCTTCAAATCTTATTTTTATGATATTTAATTTAAAATTTCTATTTTTTGAGGTAAGTGCAATTAGTAGTAAAAAAAATTGAGTATTAAAATTTATTGAAATAATTTTTTTAAAATTAAACGGGTTAAACGAGTCGTGTCGTGTTACCCGTTTATTAAACGGGTCGTATTCGTGTTGAGATTTTTTACCTGTTTATTAAACGTGTCGTGTATGAGTTTATATGTTTTTCACCCGTCATCCGTTTAATCCGACATGTAATTGTTTAACTCGAAACGATTGACACCCCTAACTATAACACCCCCTTTGCCTTCCAAAAAAAACATTAACACCCTATTATTTCAAAGACACTTCTCCAAATTAACAGTATCCTTGCAATGCTTGAGCAATTGTGAATATAAAATTTGTTTCATTATTCTCCACAGATTATACATTTGACTACCAAATACGATGGAGGATATTGAAACAAAACGTGAAATGCTCTATTGGGGTGGGTTTCAAAAGTGAGAGATTGAATTTTTAGATAAAAAGACGATTTTGTCTATAAGTTTATTATTTTATTCATCTAATAATGAACATTTTAGCCAATTGAGTAATACGGTTAGACATTAATCTATAGAGCCCATATATATTTATGTTACTTAGGGCATCTCTAACCCTTACTCAAATTTAAATTTAAGTAAAAAAGTCTAAAAAATTTGTTCCAACCCTTAATTCAAACTTATATCAAATCAAGGAAAACTCATTTTTGTTTACTCAAATCTTTAATGGTGAGATTTTGTCATCTTTTAAAGATCCAATTATCATCTTCACTCTCTTTTAAATTTGAGTTTGCCCTCATTTAAATTTGGGTCTCTCCTTCTTTAAATTTGAGTTTGTTCATTAANAAACTTATATCAAATCAAGGAAAACTCATTTTTGTTTACTCAAATCTTTAATGGTGAGATTTTGTCATCTTTTAAAGATCCAATTATCATTTTCACTCTCTTTTAAATTTGAGTTTGCCCTCATTTAAATTTGGGTTTCTCCTTCTTTAAATTTGAGTTTGTTCATTGAAATTTCTTATATCAAATCAAATTTTTTACTCAAATGTTAATTTAAATTGAAGTAAAAACTTGAATCATGGTTAGAGATGCTCTTACCAAACAAATAGATTTTTTTTTTACTACTAGGCGTTCAAGTTTGAGCCAACTACTCTTTTGAACTCAGTGGTTGATCATCGTAACTTGAGTTGAATTAAAACATGTCTCTTAANTAAAAACTTGAATCATGGTTAGAGATGCTCTTACCAAACAAATAGATTTTTTTTTTTTGCTACTAGGCGTTCAAGTTTGAGCCAACTACTCTTTTGAACTCAGTGGTTGGTCATCATAACTTGAGTTGAATTAAAACATGTCTCTTAAGGTACAAGGGTGACTAACCCTTAGAAGGTGTAAGAATGATTAAACTAAGATTTTTGCATTATCAAAGATTTGGAATTTATTATTTGAATCTAATGTACAAATCCCGAGAATTTATTATTTGAATGTACAAATCTCGAGCTTAGATTTGGAAAGACTTTGTCAATATAATTCAGCCCCCCGCCCCCCCCGCGGCAACTCACCCAAAAAAAAAAAAGAAGTTGAATTACATTGAGACCTTTTGAAATTTATCACATAAGCTCCCTCAAGTATGAAAAATGACACTGTACTCCCTCAAAGATTGGTTTTGTGTAACACATAACACCTACCATTAAGATCTGTTAAAAAAAATATCAAAAAATGATGACATCAACCCTTTTTTTATCAAGGTATTTCCAAAACTAACCATGTAGCAGTCCACCGCAATAAAAAAATAAACTACTACAAAACCCAATAATTTTCAAATTTTTGTAGAACTCGTCACAAGTCCAACAACTAATTTAATTCTGCCCATTAATTAAGCAATTAGCCACTATAATTGCAATCATTCATTTTATTAAATAAATTCAAGTAATTTAACCCACTAATTTTTTTGATTGACCCATTAATCTAGCTAATTAACGTCCAATTATCAAGCTGGTTAACATCATTATACCGTTAAGCTAAAAAACCCCATTAATTAATCCCTAATTTAAGCAACAGCCCTTATCAATTAACCTCACCAATCAGCTTAACTGACCTCATCCCAAATTCATCATCGACTCCACCATTGAATGCACTAGATACCATGGCTGCCTCCACCAATGTCAACAACCCATCACCGTCAACCAACCACAACCACACACAAAATATTTACGCCACCTCAAACTCCTCCTTCCTTTCTCTCTCTCTCTCTCTCTCTCCACAAATTTATAGAATTGATAATACATAAAATAGTCTTATGTAAGATCAACAATCGAGTATGTGATAAAATATAATTAATAGACAATTAATAGAGCAATTAATGACAAAAAGATAAATTCTAGGTCAATACACAAATATATAGTAGTTCGGTCTGGATGATCTATTCCACTCCGAAAAACGACAACGGTGGTCCCCAGAGAGAGAGAGAGCAATGATTAGCTACGAGAGGAATACAATAGCTAGGAGAGAGAAAAGTCATGCGCAGGGTGTATAGAGAGATGTAGAGATAGATCAAGAGGTGTCATCTCATGTAGAGAGAGCTTAAAATTTATAGGTACAAAGCTTTGCTTAAGGCGGTGATGTGAGGGCAAAAGTACTAGTTCTTCGAGAAAGATAGCTACAAAAGGTAAGTACAATTAAAGATTGTTTTGATCTTCGAA